AACAACATGTAACCTGCAAAAATCTTTGTTGCTAAACATAGGTTGGTGATGCACTCTTTGGGGCGAGGCATTAAGCTAAAGGCCCATTAAGCTATCGGCAGATCCAATAGGGAGGCATCCACATGCATAAACATCAATTAATTTAAACCTCAGGAAAATCTTCATCATGCTGGGTTGACTTACTGGTCTCCTTCCAAAGTGATCCAGGAATTTGCTGATCGGGTATGTACCAAGTAGCTCACCAACAAACAGCATCTAGTCAGAAAAATCAGCATTTGCAAAAAAAAGTCAGCATTCAAAACAAAATGTTGACAGCTTTAAAATACATTAACTGAATTGAAAATCACAGGGTGAGAAATTCTGACTAATTTTGTTTGCTTAAAAAAGCAAAGAGCAATTTCTAATGCAAACTTTCAAACTTCCCAAATTCAACACAAGTCAACCGGGAGTGTAAACTAGTGTCAATGCGGCCAATTGGCCACTTTCTGGTCCTTTTTTCCTTAACTTTGAGGCCCTTTATACAGATAGTTTAGTATAGTAAAATGTTCCAATTGCAAGCAGATATACACGTATATTGAAGCAACTGTAAAAATAAACTTACTGTTGAGATAAGTGCAACTTTGTCATCGCTTAATTTCAGAGTACACCTTAAGATTTCATTAATTGTTGTAGACAGGAGAATCTGCGCAAACACAGCAAGCTGTTGAGCAAAAAGAGGAAGAAAATTGAAAACCTAAACATTGATAAGATGTTCTTCCTTCTGCTATTAAGCAAAATTTGTCCAAACCAATCCCACATGTTCTTCCAACAGTGATAATGAAACTTACTTTTTTCCAGCTTTTATTTTAAGAGAATTTACTCTATTACATTTAATATTACTGACACACAGATCCTTGTCATATGATTAGTGGAACTCATCTCACATGACAGGCATATTTGTTGCCATTCAAGCCTGGGCTTAAAAACCCGTTCACTCATAGCGAATGGAATTTACCATTCTATAGTTTTATCATATCATTCAAAGGATTCTTGTTCGGTGTGTCATATGCATGCATGCTGACATGACTTTCCCAGGTACAACATTGACACATAAAGGACATTTACTTTCACAAATTAAAGGGCATAAAGTTAAAGGTGTGACAGCCAAAACCTGTCGATTATAACTGTTACCGTGGAAAACCATTTTTGGTTCCACGAGTTTGAGGAGTACTCAAAACATTAAGTTTATTTAAATTGAATAAAACTCAAATTAGTTCTAAATCTTTGAGTGATTTGAAATCATAACAGATTAATTTTTAAAAATCAAATGATAGGATCTGCATGTCAGTTACATGAAACAAATTTTGAGTGGCTTTAAATTATGAATGGGAGAAATATGAATGCAGGGTAAAAGCTGGACTTTTCCATTTCACAAAGCAAAGCCAAGTGACATAGAAAAGTCAAGATTTTAAGGAGCGATTCCTTCAATTGTCTCTGTGCCACTCAATATTTGTGTGAATAATTAAACATTTTAACATGATTCCCTATAATTTCCCAGAAATTTACACATATTTCAATTTCTATGTAAATTAAATGCAAAATCCTGTTATCCTATGCAGGCTGACATATACAGTTACCAAACGTATGGTCACTGTGACGCTTGAATGAACACATCAAACCAGGTTAGGTGTGGCTCGATGGGAGACTTTAATATACTGTATGCACAAAATGTTCCTTATTGAAGACCTCTCTGTCAGACAATTTGAATATTTTGTAATGAAGATTAGTAAAAATCAATACAGGTTGTGGAAGGGGAATGAAAGTGGTTTTGTGGGGGTCACATGAAAGGGCTGCCTTGGAAAAAATTCAAATAAAATAATGGTTCTACGCTGACATTTTATTATATTCTAAGCATTAGAGCTCACCTACCATAGCAAGAAAAGATGTGATGAGAATTGTGATTTGTAAACAGCCAACTCCTATAGCATCAATGGCATCATTAACGGAGTAGTCTCCAGAATCAGTCTCTGTTTCTGTGGCCGTCTTGGGTGTTGAATTTGACCCATATTCCAGCATGCCTAAGGCTGTTTCTGCCTCTTCCAACGGACCAGCCAGACTCGGGGTAGTGGCGGTTGATTCTGTATTTTGATAAGTTTTTATATCAAGTCTGACCGAGCTTAACAGATCTTTTTCAAATCTGTACTTTCTTTATCAATCGTAATCATAGTCATGAATCCATAGCTAAGAATAAAATCATATATCATTCATTTCAATTTCTACAACTTGTCTTACTTTTCAGAGGTACTTTCTCATCTTTTTTTCCTCTTAATCTTGCTGTTGATTCACTGGCCATGGTATGAACACAAACTTATATGTAGCCTCAATTCAAGCCACTTTGAGCAAGAAAGTCTGATGCATTTGTGTTGTAAACAAAACACAGCTACAACTGATGAGAGGAGTTCACGGCTCTCAGGCTGCATTAAACTATATCTGGAGGCAGAGTCTAATACAATCCATGCAGTTTCACCTGTAGGAAAGAATGAATGTACATTCCATTGCAAAATTTACAGGTGCTTTGCAGGTGCTTTGCAGGTGCTTAATACTGGCTTTCGTCCTACGTAGTAGTGTGATCCTTTGACATTTCTTGGGTATTCATGTCTCATCCACTTCTATAATCTAATAAATTACACCTATAGTGATTCAGCATGGACAATATAGAAAGTTAAGCTGACATTAGCCATATTAGTTAACAAGGAAATTACAAAGAACATGAAGGACTCAAGAGTTCCTAATTCTGCTGTTCACAATTTAACAAAGCGACCACAGAGAAAGGGAAACTTATTTCCACTAGAAACCTAGTTCACTCAGCCTCCAACGTGCAAAAAAGGTGCAGATTGCATGGACCAATTGACCTTTTTACAATAATTGCTTGTTAACGTTTAGAAAATGATAGATTATTACTTCAACTTACCCTGTGCTCTAAGTGTTTAGTATATCCTATGATGACTTCGGTCACAATCAATCACATCTCATTTAGATCCCAAAAACTGCTGACACCGAGAGCCTTTGGACGATACACTTGATATCGAGTGTTTTCATCGTCGTATACAAAGCACTAGAAGTTGTAAGAGTACTACGTGTACTAACTACTTACAAATGCAAAATGATCATGTGATATAGTCTAGGCAATTCAATGCTGCAGCATATGGTCATTCATTCGAACAGAATATTTCATCGACGTGACTGCATATATTTATACACAAGCTGCAAACAAAATTTCAATGTCATCTGCAGATAATTGTTTGGTTTGAATTAATGATAATCGACAGTCATGACTGATTACAGGATACACAGAAACCTATCTGACTAGATGGCATTGACTGACCGAATCTTATTGGCTTGCCATATGAGGAGATAATCTCTCCAATGCGGTTGAGTCCTACCAGCATATTTACACATCGGTCACCACAGCATGAGAGTGAGCAGAGTACCAGCAAAAACACCAGGGATGTCAGACATAACCAGCAAACAAGCTTATATTCAAAGCAAGGATGGCGCAGTGGTTATTTTCTGTCATGACCAAAAGTGCAGCTACTGGCTTACTAATAATGGGCTGCTTGACAATGAAGTGGTATCAAATTTAACAAATTTAAATATACACGTACCTACATGTAACTTTTTAAATTTGGCAAACTCCGAGGAATATCATATTCATACACTTGGAATTGTTAATTTTTCCACACTAGTAAAGACAATCTTAAAATCTTAATTTCGTGATTTCTTTGAGCAAGAAATAACTATAAAAGAGCATCAAAGAATCACACTGGAAATTAATTTAACTGACTCTGTAATAGATGAAAAAACTGACTACAGTTGAAGTTGAATGTATCATCTTCAGCATTATGATGCCAGATGGTCTACTTCATAGCCAAGTCCTACATTCATGTCAGTAGACATGAAGTTTGTCAGTGCCGTCTGATGTGGAACTGTCGTCTGAAACAATCAAGTCAGTCATGCCAGTGACCATGTCTAAATTTATAAAAGTTCCTTTCAACACTGATTTACAAACGATCTATTGATGCTGATCTGGTTTATCTACAATATTCCAGAAAGTAGTCCCAACAAAAGGACAGTGATATGTAATTAGTAATGAACAGGGCATCCTAAGTTGCTTGTATGATGGAGCAATGATACATGTCAGATACACGTTTTATGATGGAATTTTTTTGTTAGATTGTAGTAGCAAGATTGTTGATACATTTGTGCATTAAACGACGACTTGTAGGTAACAAATTGTTTTGGTAGTGGCATCCAGCCAAGCGTACTCAAATATAATTGAAGGGATATCATACTAAGAATTAACCAGAAAGCATGTTTTGAAGTTTGTACGACTTGCCTGTGTGCAGGCTGAATCTTTTAAGATCAAATGTGCCAACAGTAATCAAAGTGAGGTAAGATAAATACACTGTAATGTAATACGACAGTCAGCCAAGATATAAGGTTTCACCCACAGATCATATCCAATTGAATTTGTCACTCACCACCTTGCAATTGTCTACAGATCTCATTTGATCTCATCATTATATTCTGACGATTAGTTTTATAAATTGTTTTAAGAACATAGATTCTGTGATCATCAAATTAATTTTATCTTAATTTAAAATGATGATTTGCCTTCAATCAACCAGAAATCTGTATCAAGGCAACAGATAACTTTGTTCGACTTCTAGAGTTATTTGCCCATTAACTGTGAGAGTTGTATTGTCTGCTAACATGCCCATACTGTTCCTAACCGATGAAGGCCTAAAATTAACATAAATAGAAAACAGCAGTGGTCCTAGAATAGAGCTCTGTGGAAAAATATGTCAGTATCAAAGCTTCGGAACATTAAATTACATTTAATCAACAACAGAAATTTCTCACTCAACTTTCACTGATAATTGCCAAAAAATCAATGGGCAAAATAAAAACACTACCAAAGCTTTCTGACATAAAAAAAACAAGTACATGCACTTCTTTGCATCCACTGAAGAAAATCCAAGAAATTGAGATAAGGTTTTGTGACAAACAATCTAAATTGTTTATTGTGGACACTTCAAAGAAATCAGCAAAGGAGTACATTAACAAAATCACATTTGGTAAGGCGGATTAATTAAAACAGATCTGAAGCCTGTCAAGTATCAAAAATATACTGGTACTATAGAAGCTGATAACGGGAATTCTTTGTGGCAAAAAAAAAAATGCATTAACTCAATACATTTAGACTGCCTGTCAGTGTCATTATTAATTCTTAGGGCATTTAAAAATAATTGAGTTATAAGACTCAGATTTTTCCCAGTATTTGGTACATGACAACTAAAATTTTAATGATAAAAACAACAATGGTGAATTTAAAATTTTCTGCACAAGGTGTCTATACTGGGCTTGAGAAGTTATTGACAAATGTATTGGTCAATTTACTGTAAAGGGAACTACAAGGGTAAGCCTGAACAGTCAGCAACTGTTAATGAAAGACAGAAACAGATAAATAAAATTGTGGAATTATTACTTGAAAGAAGCTCGTCAATGTGAATATTATCGTAAGGAAGCCATTCCAAGCTCAATTTAACGTACAAATATATACCATACACATTCTACCTTGCAATTATAACCTTAAATATTCATATTTACACCACTTCATTTCATTTTAAAAGTAATATCCCTGTACCTTATTCATGTTTCATATTAGTTTATTACTAAGTACATAAACAATATTCATTAATGATAGCCAATACTAGACACCCTAATGACACAATAATATTGCACTTACAAAAAACCTAATTAAGTTCCTAAATGCTTCGATTTTACACACTAAGGGAGCTTAAATAAGGAATGTATCAACCTCCAGTGCAAAATCTCATCATGGATTTTACAGAAAAGAAAACAAGACTCAACTTTTACAGAGATTTCTAGAGTCTCGTGCAATACAGTTTATTTGTAACGAGTAATGCACTGAGACATGATCAGTCTGGAGTATTACCACATAATGGGCATAAAGCCCATCCCTACTACTACGGCAATTATTGTCCAAATTCAACTTTAAATATCTCAAGTTGGCAACAACAAATTTTAAATCAATGCATACAAACGTGTTTTAGAACTTTTAGTTTGTCAGGTTTTTGCACAGGCAATCAAATTTTTGCAATTGGAATTTTTCATTAGTTTTTTTGTTCCATATGCTGCAACGTTTAAGAAAAGCTACCCGTAACATGGAAACACCTATACAATCTATTGCAGGCTGCTAGAACAAGCCTTGTGATTGGTCAGATCGCACAAAATTTGTGACGTAATAGGCCTTCCAAATATGGTAATACTCCAAACTGGCTTATCATAAATTGTGTCCACGGTAGAAGCCTAGCCACAAATATGATTTAAACACAGTCTCATATGAATAAATGTAATAAAATCAGAAAGACAGCAATAATACAGGCAACAGCTGTACCAATTCACCAAAGCAGTTGGAATACTGGCCCAAGATGGCAGCACTTCTAAGTTCTGACTTCCTCAGACAACGACTCTAAAACTCGGCATTAATACTTTGGGAACACAAGAGTGTCCCTTTTGGAAAAGTAACCAATAAAATCTAATTCATAGGACAAATTGGTCATGACCCAAAGATTTGTTATCCGTTCAGGCTGTTAGTATTCCTGAAAACATGACTTCTTTGACACCAAAGTCAGTATAGAACCTTATCTTGGACAACTGGGAAGGACTTGTCCTGAACTGACACACAGATGATTTTTTATAGCACAAAGCATCACCTTGCCACACCTGCTTCGGTTGTATTCGTTGGTTTGGATTTGGTGACAACGGTCTGAAAAACAAGGAAAGGCAGTGAATTTTTTTTAGTGATAGTTACATCGTTTCCCCTGTAACCTTTACTCTCAATTAGACCACCAGAGGGCGCTCTCCAGTTTCTTCAGGGTATATCCATGCACATCTAAATAAGTCCTGGACTCAACACAAGCTACTTAATCCACTCAAATAAAAAAGCAATGCCCATTTTGTGCATGTTTAGTCCCCTTGGAATCCGTCAATAGTGTTTATGCATGTGTATTACAATGTATACCATTCTGAGTGCAGGAGAATGTGCATTATGTGATATGCACCGTCTAGGCTATACTCAGAGTTTATGGTTTATGGTTACAACAACTTAATACATAGCTTCAATGCTAAGCTATTATTTCTTCCTTACCTGCATTTCTCTTCCTTTGGTCTCGATTGGAAGCAGCAAACAGGCGAACACTGCAACAAGAGCCACACCCCCATAAAAGGAGAGGGCTAGACGAGGAGACACACCCAGCATGACCTACAATCAACGAGAGAGGGCACTAGTCAATACAGACTGAGGTCTTAGAGGGGTTTTCTAAGGAGTCCAAAGTAAACCGTTATCCAGTTTGACACCATAGAACAAATCATGTTTTTATCGGAATGTTTTTGACTTCATTGACAAGAATGATTTTATGAAGTGAAAGACACAGAAGGAACATTCCATTTCAAGAAAAAAAAAGAGTGGAATTGAACCAGAACTAAAACCAAAACTAAACCAAACCCAACCCAACGATAAGACCACTTCCTGAATACTCTATTGCAAAGGTCAAGTGATGTTAACAAGGCTTACCTGAGCAACAAATGGAGTCAGCAGAGCTCCAATCCGAGCCATGGCACTACATGAGCCAACACCTAGAGCTCTTGTAGCAGTTGGATAAACCTACAAGGCAACAACAACAAATCTAAAATCTCCTCCCAAGGGCAGGTCTCTTTCTGATCTCTTCCGCAGAGAGAATAGCAGTCGTATATCCCATACGACTCAAGAATTTAAAAAAGGAAAATTATCCTTTCCCAATTATTCAGAGTTTCCAGCATTTCATGAAAACAACCTTTTCTCTGATTCTTCACTGATGAATTTTCAGAATTCAAGGATAATTAGCTCTACCTATTTCCAGTTGACACGTTTACAAAGTCACCATAGCCCATCATCCAGTAGAGACACTGTTGAGCCATAAGTCAAAATATATAACAGGCTGACCACTTTCTCTTTTAGGCCCATCAAAGTTCTTAACTTTTCCTTAAGAGGAAAAAACAAAAATTATATCCAGGTTTTCCCCAATTTCAAGGATTAATGTTCATATCTCCGAATAAAACTGAAAGCAGGGGACATTGTAAGGGTTATTTGAGGGGAGGGGGAAGAGGGAGGGAGGGGGAGTGGTTGGGCAGGAAATGTCACCCCTCCCAGTCTGCAGGTCAATCAATTACCTCAGGCGTGTAGACATAAGCTGCCTGGAATGCACCGGATATAAATCCTCTTGCTGCAAACAGGAAGACAGTCAGTAACGTCCTGCAAACAAAAAATGAAATCACTGAGGTATTAAGAGGTAGGACCACACACTGACAGAGTTACCCTTAATCCTCTAGGATAGTTGGACATGAAGGAATTTGAAGGATATAGGACAGCTGGGATAGCCCTAACAGTCCCGAGTACTCCAATTTCAATGTGATTTTACATACACCCTAGGGGTTAGGGTTAACCCTGAGAAGCTGAATACAACTGAACTATCAAATCCTGAGAATAAAACACTTTCAATACAACATCCTGCTAACAATCAAAAGGAAATCTTTCAGGTCCTTAGTCTTTATATTTTTCATTTCCATCCATGACATGGTTCCTGACAACAAGGTAATCAGTGAAGACGTTCCACACAAATGTACTTTTATCCTGTCAGTTCCATTCAATCATTACTTTTCACAAACCCTACGGGTTGAGAGTTATGCACAATTTAGCTTCACAGACAGTTTGACCTATCCTCAATCTAAACTCAACTGACAGTGTTTGGTAGAAACCATCTATGTTCTCATTTGGGACTCAATACTCTGCACGAATTCAGAGAATGTACCATTGGATTACTGCATGCTGGTGGATTCAAAACATTCAGGAAGACTGCAGGTAAACTTAACAAGCAGTTCAGGACGTAATATAATCTCAGTTATACAAATAGTTGTCCAACTTACGTTGATGTACAAATAAACAGGAGGAACATGAAAATGGCAAAGCAAAGGAATTCAATTCCCATTGTTTTCTTCCTGCCAAGTTTCTCGATGATGACAAATGTGAGAATAATACCTGTAACGAGAGCAACGGAAAAACTGTGAAGGATGAAACAATGAAAAAAATTCAACAGAAGAAACAATATCGGCACCTCAAATTTGACAATACAGTTGACAGGATAGTACATTGCCCTACCTTATGCATAGTCATGAGCAAGAGCTGAACTCTCATTGGACCATTCAATGTTACAAGTTGTTACTTTTGCTGTTCATCTACATGCTTACAAGGATCTGGTTACCAGTCAAATAAGTGCTTGAACTGTACATTCCTTAGCTAGGTCATATGCACACAGCATATGAACCACTTCGCACCAGGATGCCCGGTACTGGAGACCTTAGGTTTGTACCCATAGCAGAGGTGCACAAAATTGGACAAAGGCGCTGGGCCTTGTGCAAAAGACCATACTCCAAACAAAAGACCAGGCCTGCTAGGAATTGCCAACATTTTTTCAATTGTCAATAACGGACGTAATTTGTCATTGTTTTGAAACAGTATACCACTATTTGTGGCATTCAGTGCGAGCGGATGAGCGATACAATACCGCTGCATGCTAATCTGGTCACATTTGAAACGATACCAGGAATGTACTGGGCCAGTTTCAGGAACAAAAGAAAATTACGCAACACCACACAACCTGGGCTCTCTTTACAAGGTGGCTGGCCTGGCTAAAATACTTGGGCATCAATAGATGTTGTCTGTCAGATTAGAGTAGCCACCAGACAGTCATTCATATGGGTTTAAACATCCAGTAAATGAAGGTTTGAAAATTTTGACTAAACGGAAAATCTTGAAAATCCCATGGGAACTCGTCATGCAACTCCAATTTAGACCCGGCAGCATTTGGTTAACAGATGATGGCAAGCGTGCATGATGCGTTTCCTTTGCTCTTGAAATATTAATAGCAATACGTCTAAGGTAAGATAAAATAAAAAAATAAACATTGTTTATTTTGGGTGGGTAGTTGATATTAGCTCCCCAAGGTACTGGGAATTTGTAATTTGTCCACTTTTGATGCCTTGGTGAGCCAAAGTTGACCATTCATCCTCAAACTATGTTTACATTTGTATGCTGTACATGTATGTATCGTCAGCCTCCCTCCCATCACAAGATCTCAATGAAGACAAGTTGTAGAGTTGACCAGAACAAAGACCCACCTGGAAACTCAGCAAACGTAGTCCATAAGAGAAGTACATAGTCACTGGTGGTAAGAGATTGACAAGCATCGTAGCATTCCAACTGACTCTGGGAAGGGCTTCCAACTGAGAGATGTGTAAGAAATGAAAGTATCAATCAAAGTATCTGGATCCCAAAACACATGTGCACTGTATAACTTGAATTCTCTTGGCTGGGAATGAGGAAGAGACATTTAAGATATACACAATTACAGTCAAACCTCGTTAAGAAGAGCCCTGTTAGTACGACATTCTGCTTATAACAATGACATTTTTACGTCCTAATCGTTTCTTTATTGTTTTCATTATTGATAATACAATGTTCCTGTTGTAACAAGGTAATCTGAAAAGTCTGAAGGACCTCTTATTAACGAGGTTTGACTGTATTTGCCAACCAAACACATGACTCTGAGATGGTTAAAGTCTCCAGTTAAATTTATCTACTTCTAACAAGACCATCAGCGAGCAAATTGCCATTTACAGGTTTGGTTTCATAAAATCAATTAAAAACAAACATACACACGTATTTACAATACAGACAAAATAACAAGAATTTATATTTACAGTTGTCTAACTAGTTTGTCATTAGTGTGTAAGAAACAATTCTGGGGCGAAAAAATTCCTTTGAACTTACAAGAACATGTGCTTCCTGATGCAAAGAGCTCTGTGCTTAGCAGGACAATCCCGTAGTAGGCAAAGGCATTGGCAAACCTGAGCAATGGAGGGGAAAAAAATGGAAATTATAGCTAGACAACAAACACCACACACAGATGGGGTTCAAGGTAACTTGGCTTGATGTAGATGTACATGTATCGGATAAGATATCTGACCTTTAAAGAAAACTGGAAAATGTTCCCTGCAGGCCCCAAATTGTATGACCACAGTATGGACTGTTGAAAATGCAGGAAATTATAGGAAAGAAAATGATAAAAAAGGAAATTCAATCAAATTTCTAACATCCTGTAAGGTACCATTCCAACTTCTCTTCTGCCACAAGACAATGATGAAACACATGGAAACATCACTGCACCTGTTCTTATGAATATGTAAAATCAATCAAGAACTTTGGGTGAAGAAAAAGGCGAATTTGGTGCGTGCTGAAATATAAAGCGCTTGGCCCGTGATGCATCATGCTAACCACAACCACATTGTATGTTCAACCAAGCTGCAATCTAGTTTCAGCTTTTCGGCATTTTTCAATTCTCATTCTGCTTTTAAGTCTTTAGATCTTTATATTCTCAAGACGAGAGTGATGCGACATAATAAAACAAACCATATGAAGAGAAGGAGAATCGTCGTAATTCCCATCTCCTTGTTTTTGAACAGATCAGCGTAGGAACCTCTACTGACCTGATGGAGAAATTATGATTTGTAAAAAATTGTGTTAAGTTAAAAGAAAACCTCCATAAGGCTGTAAAACCTGCATGTAGGCATCTCACCCAAATTCTTGGGATGGAATAAACTAAAATCATTTCAGAGGAAAAAAAAATTCATCTTTGTATACTTACCGGAACATCTTCAATCTTGAGTTTACCTAGTGGCATGGGCTTATTATTTGCTACGGCTATCGCTTTGAGAATATCATGTGCCTTCTGCTGGTTACCACATGCTACGTAGTACCGGGCGCTCTCCGGTAACCACTAAAATGATGAAATCAAAAAGCCCAATTGTGACCCGCTCTGCAAAAACTGGTATTAAGGGACGCTGTGCTATTCCACGCTAAGAGCTTTTCTATGTGGAGAGGGTGGTTTTTACTTCTTGGTTCACTGACTTCTATTATATCAATACTTTCACGATTCATATGAGAAACATAACTGTTGCTATGGACATTCAAGAGACTTTCTTCTTGGCTGATTTCTCTTTCCACTTCCTGAGGTTTAAAGGGCTTTATCTCTGAGAGCACTTCTGTTAATGTGTATGATATGATTATGCAAGAATCAGTATATCTCCGGATTGCAAAATGCCACAGGGTTCAAACCTACACAAAGTTAAAGCTTATAATGTAACCAATTCAAATGTGTATGTAACTCATTTTGGAGCCGGTCACAGTTTTCAAAACATGAAGCCTATGACATTTTAGCTGTCATTTATGATCATGAAACAGTTTGACCAAAATCAAGTAGTGTATCTTACCTTACAACTCAACACGAAGATTAAAACAGGAATGGCCGAGAAAAGGAGAAGATAATTCCATCCAAGTGTTGGCATGACAACAAGAGCCAGGAGGACCTCTAGTACAGTACCCAATGCCCAAAAAACCTGAAGGTGTGGAGAAAAAGATGAAATGGATCCTAGTTCAAGATAAAGGTACTCTGCCGTCTTTTTCAAAGAATTAACCAAGTCCTGAAATCCAGTTTCATGATACTTTGCAAACTCTGGAATGACTCTACAAGCCAGGTCTTTTCGACACGTTTCATAGTCCAAGACCCAGCAGATTTTGTCATTAATTTAAAACCTAAAATTATCTGTAAAAAGTTTGACTCAGGATCAACTCGACTTTAACGTTTTTGCTGCCATTACATTCATCAGTGGCTTCTTGCAAGTCTCCAAGGACACTATTTCAGTGAAGCAAGTCCAAATGTTTAGTGAAAGTCCAAAACTCTGTTGTTTGAAACATTTGATGGACAAAAGACAGGTGAAATATGAGTAACTTACAGCAGTGAACACCACACACATGCCTCTGGTTTTGGAGGGCAGAAACTCTGTATATAGTGTTATTCTGTTGGGAAAAAAACCAAGCGAGTCTGAACTCTTTAACTCGGCACTGTATCAGAGAGTATGAGAAAAAATCACTTATAATATACTCACTGATGAAAAGGTATGGAATGCCAACTAGAAATATTTGAGACTTAAAATATTAATGTACTCAGTGATGGAAAGGTATGGAATGCCAAACAGGAAATATTTGTGACTTAATATAATACTGAGTTTACAGGCACTCTCTGTCAACTGATAGTTCAGTGCAGACCAATCACTCTAAAGCAGTGAAATAAAAGCATGTTTCATATTTTTCACCAATGCAAAAATATCTCCACAGAGTTCATATACTAAGTGTAGATTATTAACAGTAAAAGAAAAGCCAACAGTAAGCAACAAAAATGGTCTTGAATTAAGACTAATCTTGTTTGAAGTGCTATCATTGTAAGACTTACGACTGAGGGACACCGCCGATACCAAAGCCAACCAAACATCTTAAGATGAGAATCCATACGTAAGTAGGAGAAAAGCTGCTCAACAAACCGTGATAGAACAGCCACAAAGTACAGAAAATCAGGCCCTTAACAAAAGAAAACAAACAGAAAAATTGTTTAATTAAAATAATTAGAATTTGATATTCATTATTACATAACTTGAGTCGCACAGACATTTCAATAAAAAGACAGGTAAGAAAATCGATCAATCTTTTAATATCTGTTGATTTGAATTCCATCTCATTCTCTTCAAGGATCTGATCAAAGTTCATTCCTGAGCCTGGTTTCCTTTACGACAAAACTCAGTATACATGTATGGCTTACAGCACAATCTGTTCTAAGGCACAGAAATGTCAAAGGTACATGTACATAGTTAATATGGGTCATTCCATTAGGTTGGGGCACAATTTGTGACAGTGTCCTTGTTACATTGGTAGCTTTCACCACCTGTCATGACCTGTAGAGTAGGTCATTTACTTTGGAATAATAACACACACCTCTGTATTCAGCCTAGCAAGATGTACATGTATAACAATGTCAATGTGGAATCCACATGAAGGGAAATAACTGTTCATATTTACGGAGACCATGTAACAATTGATACCGTCACAAATTGTGCTCTAACCTCATGGAATGACCCAGAAATTCATCTAAACTACTAGGCTTTATTAATGAAGTTTTCAATTCCACCACAATGTTCTCTGCTTCAAATTAAAAAATTCATCAGACCAACCCCACCTGCAACTCTTGCAGTACAGGCATGCCATAAAAACCTGCCGCTGGTCTTTATGTGAAAGTAGCTGAAGTGTAAAAGTGTGTTTTGGAAACTATAATGCAGGGATCAACACATCCGTATGCATTTGTGTGTGTCACTAAAACCAAGTACAGACAATGCTGAGCTAGTTTCAGTATTACTGAACAATTATGAGTGAAGATGAAATTCATATATTTTTTAAATATCTAGATGTTTTCTACTAAGGCAGGGAGTCTACGATTAATTTGAAAAATGTTAAGAAAACTTTATCATACTGTTTAAACGTGTAACCACTTGATGCTGGATGACGTGTAAACATGCATAATATGCCTTATTTGTTCCAGGCAGGACGTGTGCACTTGTTTAAGAATTCTTTCTGTCATTAAGGTGTCATGTTTTGTTGGGTCAAAGCACAATTGGAAGATTGAAGAATTTGCCCCAGCAGCATTTTCGGGTGAGAAAATCCAACGTTAACTGGCAAAACGTGAAATGTCCCACCCTCACTACGATGTCATTGAAAACTTTAAACACAACAAATTGTATAGAATGTAAATAGTTGAAACAAAGTTCCGTTGATGAATAATGATCAAGGGTATTCCTTTGATATGACTGAGCAGTAAAGTGTTCTACAAATCTGATGATATTTCACAGACATGGTTTACATTAATAACGTCAAATCAAAACATCAAACCTCTAAACGGGGCGGTTCTGTTTAAACGTTTGGGAAAATCTGTAAACTGATTTGGAACTTTTTCATTTAAACATTTAAATGTGTAAATGTCTCACCCTAATTTTCTACTCAGAAAATTCTGGCAATAATTTTTTTCAATGCACATTAACTAAACATACCTACATGTATACATAAATGAGATTCATGGCTCACAAAACTGCAATATGTGAAGCTTGCTACCAGTAAAATCTTGTTAAATAAAATTGAATCTGAATTACAAGCGCTCATTGCACTGCTATAATGCAATTCTAAAAACAGTCCTCGCAAAAACTCTGTGTCTTCACCTGCAGTAAAAAAAAATTTTCCAAATCCACCTGCATTGAAGAGTTCTCTTTGAAAGAAAGTCCAATAAATCAAGACCTGTCACATTAATGTAATGGTCTCTGGCATGACCCATGGTCCAGCTCACAAAAATTCCTTGGAAGGCAGTCACTGGGTGGATAGACACCACTTCCTGTATTATAAGTAGATGCGATGACAGACAAGAGCATAGTAAACGCCTAATGCATTCCAGTGTGTACCCCACATGAACGCAATATTCCTGCGCTAGTCTTATTCAGCTTATTAAGTTCACAATGCATACCGGAATAATGCACATATTAGGATTCAATAATGACAATGAGCTTACCAATATTGCTTAGCATAATTTATATAACCACAGTAAGTATAATATATAGTTCATATAGTTTGTAAACTAGTGAAGGAATAATGTATTTTAGCTTTGGAATGCACATTATGAAATACTTGTAGCTGTGACTACAGTTTAAAAAAGGAGCCCATTACAGTATTGCAACCAGACAACTAAAAGCATTGTATAACACAAGTCAACATTTGAGCAGAGCCATTGATGTTAATTTTGATAAAATGATTCCTCAATTTGTGCTTGCACTGTGAAAAATGATTGCCAAACGTAATTAATTAGAATTCATTTCGAAAACAGTGTTACTGGGATCTTTTGATAAACATTGAATAAAATATGACTGATTCTTGTAATTCCCATATCAACCATGTTTTATTTGAATTAAAAATAAAAGCTCAATGAAGAGATAAATTTACATGTATATCTGTAACTAACACCATCCAACAGCAGTCGGTAAGATCTAACACATGCTGCATGGCTGATATGATGACATAGAGGCAGACGTGAGCGATGTGTACATGTATAAATATACAGTACTTGGGTGTGTGTTTCCGGGCCATGTCAGATGCTAGTATTTTTTTAGCTTTTCAAAGGTTCTTCACCCTGAACAAAAAGTCATGTGAACTGAAAGTTGGTCAAAACAGATGTTCACAAAGGAACAAAGATAATTTACACTGACAAATTATTTCACAACAGAGAAATAACATTTGTTTGAAAATCTTTGAAGATATTCATGGATGTATTTAAGGAACTCAAGCACTTTCATTAATATTCATAACCAGTGGAAAATTGAGTCAATTTGACCAGATACACACATGTGCAACTACTTTGATTGTAAAATGATACAATCATTTCAATAATTGAACTCCATAAAAAGTGATTTGCAAAAGATACATCCTGCTGATGGGATCATTTCTGTTTATCAGCAATGTTCGTCGCATGAAATTCATTGATCATCTCGTGAACACTGTACTAAAGAAACCACATCACACTTATAATTATCATAATGCATGCCAACAGTCATCATTAACCAAGTGAAGTCAAGGCTGACCATCTAATCCCACAACCTTTATCTTCAATTTCAGTTACCATGGCAACTTTCAGTTACCATGGCAACTTTCCTGCTTGGCCAAATCCCTGATAGATGAAAGGCTAGGATCCAAGACTTTTCAACCGATATATTTCACAATCTATAATCTCCACAGAATTGTGAACTCTCCATTTAGTGATTGAATAGAAACAGTCTCAATGAAGGCGAGACTTTGGTGACAAAAATTAATTTTACACTTTTCTTTCAAGCTTCGTATAATCTCCATTAATTTTCTCTAGTCCAACAAAGTGACCATTTAAATGTTAAATATTTTCATTCATCACTCTTACTTCCAAAGCAAAATTTTGCCTCCAAGATTCAAAATGAGACAATGATTTCTGGTATAAAACAAAGTTTTGACAGCTCTCAAGTTTTTGTAATATTACATGTATTTGCTGGAAAAATAAGAACCACCTGTAAAGAGAAGAGGATAATCTGCTTCAATGTACCCAGAGTTCAGCAGACACAAAGTTGACACTTTCAATTACAGGTGTTGCCAGGATTAAGGGGGGAGGGGACTTTGGCAAAGGGGAAAGCAAGCAGCAGAAGCAAAAACATGATGAGCAGTGGAATAGGACCAATTGAACGGTTGAAGAAGGCAAGTTCTGAAGTTCTTTCAAGCACTTTGGTGAGTTTCATCCTCTTTAATTTCTTTTTCAATCCCGTATCTTTTACCAGCCTGTCACCAGCTTTGGGTGGGGGGGGGAACACTATCAACTGGGGGGGCATATCACAAAAATAATTGATAATTATTTTTAATCGAGAATCGGCCACAGGTTATTAGAGTGTTAACTTTGAACGACACTGTGCAGTGCCAGATTCAATTTAAAAGATACAGTTGAACATCTGGTTACAACAAAAATGTAACTTTTTGATGCAATCATCGAAAAGATCAGTGAAATTCTTTCTAACATTTGATTTGTGTTAAGCTTACTAGCGGTAGTTTATTATTTACTATAATTTATCATTCATAAAAATTGATTGCTTATTGCAGTAATGGTATATTTATTAGTCAATCATGCTACTCAACAAACTTTGCATTTGTGAATAGACCGTTTATAGACAACTGAAATAAAATACACAGGATGCCAGTTTTAGATGACAGTGTGCCTGTTAACTTGATTTGTAGATTTAGTGGTAATCATGGCTAATACATGTATCTTGTCACTTTTCAATACTTTGGGTCAATTCATATAGGCTACTACCTACATGTACGAACAAAACAGAAAAATGAAGAGTTTTAAATCTGAAGTTGAAAGTTGCTGTACAAAACTAACGGACTGCTACACAATACATTTTTTTGTCACACAAACCTAAATGCATTTACTGCACGGCAAATCTCGCGTCCAAAATTTTGGAATAAATAATTCACTGAGACTGAAATATTGATTTCTTGAAAACACTGTTTGCCTCTGTTACTGTGCCTATATCCAGACCACCTACATGTACATGTAGGTGAATACTTGCACCATGTTATGTCAAGGCTTTCATTCCTATGTACATGCACCTGCTCATTGCACCTGCTCATTGTGGAAATCAAATCATGTACATGTATATGTACGCACATGTACATGTACACGTATGCACGACAGATTTTAACCCGATCCTTCCCCAACCACACAGTAGTAAAGTGTTTAATTCGGTGGGGATAGGTCTGGTAGGCCCAGACAGCTGGCTTTTGTATTGCGTTTGGCATACCTCAGAAAAACTACATTTAAGTCCAACGTCCTCTGTGAAGAAACCCCTTTGTGTGAATGGGGAAGGTTAAGGCCAGCAACCCTTGGGGGGTTAGGGTTAAGTACCAAAACATTCCCGTCTGAAAGATTTTGGTGGTACTGTACATGCTGCAATTATACGCAATACATCCATGAACATGTCTAGACAGCTGCATGCATCATTGCACTCTGCATGCTGAGCTTTTCAAATGTGGAAAAACAACTCTTTTTTTGTATGACAGACTGCAGTGATTTCGTAGTTTCTGCTTAATTAAATCGTATGCCAAAGTCAACATCATTCCCCCACAAAGCTTGTAAGTGTGGACTGGGGCAAATTTCATAGAGCTGCTTGAGCACAGAATTTGCTTAAGCACAAAAAACCTTGCTTAATAAACAATGGTTACCAGCTCCAACTCTGTGTGATTGTCATGCTAACCAAAAGACAGGTAAATACCATTCCAAAACAATATAAATTACAAGAAGTTTTGGCTGGTAACCTGATTTGTCAAGCAAGTTTTTAAAGGTTAAACAATTTTTCACTTAAGCAGCACTATGAAGAAGCCTGGTTGGCTTCAAAATTGCTTAATTTGGTTTTGGTTCGGATGATGAAAATCTTGTAGCCCTGACAGCGTGGAAAATACTGGTTCTGTTTTGTACTGAATAAGAAGTACCACTCCTTCCCTACAGACCTCCGTCTGTAGGGGTGAGTACTAGGAAGGAGGGGGGCAACTGCCCCACCCTAAAAAATGGAGAAATATGAAATATTTAGAGAGAAAAAGAAGACAAAAGCAACAGGAATAAAATTGAGGAAAAGAGATGAAATCACTAAGCTGTTTGAAAATATAGATCTAAGAATTGACCCATTCCACCATTATTAGATTGTCAGTTTGCTACTAAGGAATGCTTACGTCCCCAATCACAAAAGATACTCATCAGTAATGCACAATGCATTTTGAATATTACACTGTGTGCCATACTTTGCAGTGATTCAACATTTCTAGCCTTGAAGATGGATCAATATTTTAAAATTGATTTTTACCTATAAAATACAGCATAAAAAGTTTTACAAAATGGTGTAGAAGTATACACACTGCACAGCCTGCACATACATGAATGGGTCGCTTGATGACATCACTGTGCAAATGAAAAAGGGTTAAGGAAAGGCCACCAGGTTGTCATTCTGTAGGAATTTATCCGAGAGGCACTTCTCCACTGGTATTTTATTCTAAAAGCGCTCAAATACCTTCTCGTTTTATTAGATCAGCACTCTTACAAACAAGCACCAAAACGTAAATGTTGCCTTCCAAACTACATGCACCTCCTCCAATCATTCCGCTGAGTATTTCAAACACCCCAGGATGGAATCAAAATTCCCCCGATTTTCCCTGAAGGTAGAAAAAGAACCTACACAGATAAGGAGCATACAGTGTGTACTTACGGTTCTTCTACCGTACTTGTCACACATCTTTCCCCACAGTGTGGAACTAGTGAACATCCCAATGAAGACCACAGTAGTGATTAGCGCTTCCTGCCAACGCTCAAGATGCCACAAACATCTCAGCTCCGGAGAAATGATACTCAACAACATCATCTCGATTGCATCGGCCATCTACAGAAATATTCAAGTTTATTTCTCACACAAATCAGTCTAACAATTCACCATCTTAGGAACTCTATGCAGAAAATCAATAACTTTCTCTGAGAATCCTCAAAGAAAAAATTGATGTTTGATTCTGAAAGATATAAACCGCATAACATAAATCCATTTCCAAATGAATTAACCCCTTATTTGTGCTTGAAAGTGTGAATGTACTTCATTGGAAAAGAAAGAGAAAATATAATTAAAGCATGAATGTACATGTATTAGTGAACGAGGGGTGAATGAAATCTGACCACATACCCAGCAGAATCCAACAAGTGCTGAGAGTTTCACCTGGAACCATCCAAAACCAATGGCTTCTACTGCCTGCTCCACAGTGAACTCATCTAGGGTTCAACAAATGATATCACATGAGTCAGGATACCACACTAAACCTCTCCATCCATTCTACATGTAATTTTTCCGAAAGTTTTAATATTTTCCCTGGCTTGTCTTTCTTGTAAAGAGACTAGACACAGCAAGTGGCTACAGCCTTGCCATATGAAAACTGACATGATTTGGACCTTACTGAGTGCATTTCTGTATGGATTTAAATTACATGCTAAGAAGGAAGGTATGACTGGCCAAAAAAAGGTTTTATTAATATTAAATATGTTGCTCCAAAGCATCACACTGATAATGCATGTACATGTACGTTGGACACAATCGGTCGATACAGGTTTGCACAATTACCCGATCTATGCATGATTACTCGATTTTAGTGCACAATGCCCAAGCTGCGAGCACAGCAACACACAACTACTGTAGTTACATGTGTCACGGCAAGGCAGTAGATTAATCAAGTAGTACATGTACATGTACAGTATTTATTTATACTGTTGCATCATAATTCAGTTTCCATATCTGATGACAGTAATGGATTATTCTGCTAATTAAAATACAGAAAGTTTTGGCATGGGACACGGATTTCTTTTATGATCATAAAAGGCTACGTGAATTTCTCAAATTTCATTTGTGGTATTTGTCATGAAACCAACAAAAAGTGTGGGTGAAATGATCGACAGAGGAAAACAAAGATGTGGAGCCAAGGTCATGACTGTCAGACATTGAAGAGGACAGCTCTAGTAGTGATGAAGACAATTCTTGAAATTCTACAACCCTAGCACACTGTACATGTAGCAAGCATACACTGAGCAAGAACACGTCGTTTGTCATCTTGCATGTAATGTAAAAAGTAAAATCAGGATTTTCATTGTAGTCTATGGAATCAAAGAGCAAGCATATTTCCTGTCATATTCGCAAAGTGAACATTAGCCCAGGTGGACTCCCTGACGATACATGTACTACGTTACAACGTCCAACCTGGGCTAAGTAAGTGTACATGTACGTGTAGTGTATTTTCCCTGCAGTAAACTTACTAGCCATCTTAAAGCAATAAAATATTCTAAGAAGTCTAACTTAACTGGGGAATGCGGAGCAATTCAACTACAAAATACTTCACAAGTTTTTCTGACCAGTCAGTCTTCTAACATGTCAAGTTGCAACTTGGCCTTTTTGCAAAGGCCTACACAGGTTGTCAAACATAAAACAGTGTCCGTGTAAATGGAATTCTTTCCATATCATCACGCGTTATACCGCCAAAAAAAATCACCAACCTTCACATAACCCCAAAGCGTCCACATCCACCTCTCCAACTCCACCAACAATGCTACCGAATCCGCCTGCCAGCTCGGCCGTATGTTGGCGCGATCTCCCCGTTGAGCCACTATCCGTTCCTGCGGTGCCAAGGTCAACATCTTCGTAACTTTCCCGATCTGTGCCGCCATCACTAGCACCCGATGCTCCACGGCGAAATTTCACCACTCTGCCGATGAAATTCATGACTGATTTTACACAGTGGCAAATATGATCCAAAACATAATGGACCTTGTCCTTTTATGGTTCAATTTCATTTTGGCACCTCAGAAAATGGCATTTCTTGACGTATCTCTGAACACTCAGTATTGTCGTAGCCTAGGGCCTACTATGACTTTGTGTGCGAAATATGTCCGGTGCGCGTGCGCGTGAAAAAAACACAATAGCATTGCATCTACGGAAAGTGCCTAACAGCCGCCGTTAAGCGTTAGAGCAAGATAACGGTACAGATGGCCAGTTCACATGAGGGCGGTATGCCACTTTTATGGTATGTTTTGGTTGTAAAATAGTGGGGTGGAAACAACCAACAGGACTGCTGGCTTGTATTTCTGACAAAGTTGGATAAAACGGAGCTTTAATAATGGCTCTATTTTGCATTGGCGTATCTGCATCACTTTTCAAATTGGCGATGAGCTTTACAGCTGGGGTGATCATTGTAAAATGGAAATATGTGACCCACCATCCCAAAACCAGGCTGAAGTAGGTAACTTCATAACCCTAAAATGGTGGAACTTCCACTCTTCAGATTTTCATGGGAGTTTTACAGCTATCACTACCCGTCACTTAAGAAGTTTAATGCAGACAGAAATTTCAATTTAAGATGAATCACTTTAAGGTCTAAAAAAAGCTGAAGGAGAGAAATTGTCCAACATCACAAATACGGATTTCAGCCTGGTTTTGGGATGGTGGGTCACATATTATCTTCAAAAGTAATCTGTTAAACCTGCAAAACATTATAAATACAAAGTTGAAAACAAGAGCTAAAACCGAGTTAAAGCAAGGAAAATAAGTAAAACAAATCAAAAACAGCTTACGGTTCGCCACCAGCGTGTCGTATCTCACTGCTGTCGTCGACGGAAGTACTCATGTCTGTTAAACCATGTAAGAGGAAAACAGCAAAAAGTCTCACGAGCCCTGGAATACATCGTGGTGAATACAGTAAAAGTTCAGGCACCCCCTTAGCATGGACAAATAACCAAGCCTGCATATATTTAGTAATGTACTCATCGCGCTGGAAATAATCTGAGGAGAAATTCCCTGTGGTATCTGGGGTGGAAACATTTTTTTTTAATGGACAATAAAAGCAAAATATGTTATGGCCATTTCAGGATTAAATTTGGGGCAAATAAAAAAAGGAATCAAGTTGGTGCAGATATCATTCTTCGAGAGGTGTGGTTGTGTGGCGGGGGGGGGGTAAAGGGGTCATAGAGATCCTAACACGTACGCGTGCCCACCCATTTTTCCCGCCGGCGATTCAACAGCATTACACGTTTCAACGGTCAGTTTTGGAAGCTATTTTAAACAAACGAAACTTTCAAACAATTAAAATTACATAACCGTGGAGTCAAAAAGGAGGAAATTCCAGTGTATCTCATTACTTATTCACAGCAGCTAGTTGACTCGGCTTAGATATTAACTGTTAACAAATATAAAGGCTAAATGACCTATTGATCCAGTAGTTTAAGGTAGCATATAAAAAACAAACAAACAAACAAACAAACAAACAAACAAACAAACAAAAAATAAAACAAACATGCACCCTAACAACCCAACCAGCAAACAAACAAACAGATAAAAATTTAAACAAACAAACAAACACCCCAACAAACAAACAAACAAACAAACAGAAACAAAAATCACCACTCTCGAATTCATCATTCATGCCGTCGGTAAGCCCGAACACATCAACTTACAAATAGATATAAAACTGCAATTGATAGGCTAAATCAGAATTTGGATTGGTTTGAAGTTAAATTCTTGTCATGAAAACGGAGTTTTTTAAATCGTGCGAAAATATCATCATTTCACCGTCACCCTTCAGATAATGGTAGGTCCCAAACCTATTATACTCGGCAATAACGGCCTCTCCCCTGCAGAAACTCCGTAACGAAACCTTTATTCCCGTTTTTCTTAACTTTTTTACCCACAATGCAAAGGCTGTTACTCCATATCCGTAGACAAAGTGTTTATTATGATGTGCACCGTCGGCGTACATGTTGACACTATATATTTATCGACGTTAATGTGACGTGAACGAGACATGTCATGCGCGTCACGGTGCTGTTTGCACCCAAGTCCCCGCGCCATGATGTGATCACTTTGCTGTGCGATACGGTTCGACGAATCCAGTGTGTTTCATTGTTGAAGGAAAAGGACACAAACGTGGAGGTAGATTTGCCGACCACGGGTGCTCAAAGCCGTGTAAAAAAGCACTTTATCTTGGGGGCATCTTTCATTTGCAGATCGCGTATGCATAACTGCAGGGCCTGCTTAGGAACATCTTATGGTCCATTGGTATTTTCAAGACATATTACACGGACAGCTGCGCTTTTAGTGTTTAAACAGTCAGCATTTCTCTTGATTTTTCTCGAAGCAGTGAACACAAAAAAAAAGAAGAAAAAAAAAGAAAGAAAGAAAAGAAACAAGTCAACAGAGTGTTTCCCAAAATGGCAAACTCCCAAATCGGCCAATTTTTACGAATTACAGCAAATGCAAACGGTGCTCACCACCTTTAAATTACACCCACTAGAAATGCGTGCAGTAAATTAATAACATTAGCGAGGCGTGCATAATAAATGTCTCACTTAGCCGCGGGTGATTACTCGTTACCTGCCCTGCACATACAACACTCACGACAGTCGCCATTTTCTGGTCGGAGCACTAATGAATGTGTCAGGTAGCCAGCGTACTATACTGAACAAGCACTTGAATTGGATAAATATCAACCTTCTTTAATTATAGCGGGGTACAGTGTAATTTCAAAGGAAAGAAGTTAAAATGCCTGTCTAGTTTTCAAATAAGGGTATATCAAATAAAGTACAACGACCCTGGAATTTTGAGACCTGCCAGCTATCATAATGACGATAAATGTTGGTGATGTTGTTTACGATTGACAAGTAAGTCGAGCGACAGTAAAGCAAACGTAATCATCTTTGAAAGCAAAACAAGCAATAGACCGAATGTAAAACCAAAATGTCAAGACGCTTGATGCTTTATAGTTTATAATCTAACTGCACGAACAATCAATAATTTTCAAATAAGCACAACATTTTTTTTGGTTGAGGTAATACACCAGAAACGACGAAATGACACACGGAAGCGATCCTCATGGAGCCGTCACTGTAAAACCAGACGAATATTTAAATTAGTAACCTAATCAATTACACTCACCGACACCATATCATCAGATCTTCCAGTCCTTGTCTTAATCGGTGTTCCACTTTACAAGAAGATCCGAATCTAAAGCCATGAAGTCTACATGTTCAAATCTAGAAATAATGCCATTTGCATGGAAGGCATTCGAAATTAGAAATGTCACAATGTCAAGCGGGGGAAAGGACTGTATGCAGAGGCTACATAGCCTAGCACCCATCAACCGCGGCGGGTCTCGGCGGTGCCGTTTTGTGCACACTATTGGATGCGATTTGCGCTCCAATAGTTCGATATTCTTATGAGACGGCGCATTCCATTTTCAGAGGAGGGGTGCTGCTGCCCGAATCCTTTTTTATTTCCGATTGCGCGTGCCCTTTAAAGTGCCTCAGATTGTTTTTTTTTGCGGTATGAAACTAAGAACGAAGCAAACTCCGTTTATTCTTATAGCTTTTAGGGTGGAGAGGTCAAATTTGTTTGTGTTTGCATCTCCAAATTTTATAAAGTTTGTTGGTATGGATCATTAAAGACGCCCGTTGGATAACTTGAAAATGTACGCATGAACATCGGCTCAAACGGTAAACTAACCACTCTTAAAATCTTTGGGAGGGAATAATTTTTATACGGAAATTGAAGTGAATTCATTTTTCAAAATATTTCAATCACACTTAAAGGTGATGTCTGCTCCTCGCTTTACTTTCACAGTCAAGGAACCAAACTTAAGTTTCGATCTTCCTCTTTCTCATCACCACCATCATCGGGGAGGTCATTGTCACTTGCAACATCCAAGAGTGACTGTTCAGGAATTATGGGAGCCCGGTTATCACACTCCACGCACGCACCCGCCCAAATCTGTGCATGACACCTGATTTGAGAGACACTTAAGATTGGCCTTTCGACTTTTACATGGACAGCGGATGTCATTTCAGACCTCAGATGACACTGAAGAGTTTGACATTTATACAATTTTGAATGCACCAGCCTCATTGAATTCTGCATCTATGATTGCGTGGAAAAGGTTGTTTTATGATCTACTGAAGCAATATTTGATGAGCACTAGCTTGATGGTTGATTTGATTTGATTCCCGATTCTGCTTTTATATGACGGTGGAACGGTCAATGTTTGGCGTTCAATGTTGACGTCGCGAATGTGAATTCGGCGAAGTTGATCGAAGATGGATGTTTGCCGAATACAGAAACGATACAGAAATATGAAATGTTTTTTATAACTAACTGTCGTAAACACTTGTCTCGACTTGTTCTCCGTCATAACATCTATATTTAGAGCTCTAAAGTCAAACGAAAACAACAGTCAACAACTTTGATTGTAATGTAAAGATTAGATTAACAACACCCGGCTTGCTCTCAAGATTACCGGTTGCCACACTTGAACTATGAGCGAACATGAAATGCCAGTCAGTCATGCGACCATGCTAATGAGCACAAAGTTTTATTCCAAACAAACAAACAAAACCGTCATATCACCTCTCTTGACAATTCTCATCGCACGTACAGTGCCCGTCTACTTTCAGCGTTAAAAACCTATTTGTAGGACTTTGGGGGGAGATTGTAACGGGCTAATTATCGACCTGCAACCTTTGCACCACAAAACACATAACTGCTTGATCCGATGCACCCGAATAATAATAACCCTGACATTTACAGTTATTGTCTTCACTCTAAAAAAATCATCGTTTTTCTAAAAATTGTTCGGGGTAATTTGAATGAGTGCATGCCCATATACACGACTTCGCGTCTTCTCAGTTATTGTACGTTATGGTACACAGTGACGACTAATTTTTGGAGGGGGAAGAGGAAGGAGGCGTGGCCGTTGCTTTGACTTTTCCCTTGGATGGAAAGGTGGGGGCACTCATCAGCAACAGATGAACAAACCATTCACAGTGGAAGTGGGAAAGGGGTAATTCCAAGATGCTTTCAAGCAAATGGGTACTTTTTCATCCACTTCCTCGTTTTTTCCAATGAAATTATTATTCTATTTTTTTCATGTCACGAAACAAAACATTAAAAAAATATTCAGTTGGTCAACGTGTTAAAACCGATGGGAACTGCCTGCGATATCTTTACAATGAAGCTGAATGTAATTTAAGATTTTGCATTAAAATTATAATTCCTTTTCTTACAAAGTATGCGAAAAGTCCCAAATATACGGCATTACAACTCAGAACAGACCCCCCAGTAACATAGAAATTCTCAATTTTTTGCTTCCCGCTTACAAAAACTGCTCTGCCAAATCCACTTGATCCGTCCTTCGCTACTTGCTATGAAATTAATGAATGGTTGAAGTCCAATATATTTTTTTATGACCAGAAGTCTTCATTCTGACAAAACATAACGGCTGCCAGTTCGACTTTAACAAAGTAATAATTTATTTATGTTCAACGATACAGGCAAAGGAATTACATGGTAATTTGAATGCTATCTTCTTGTGGAAATGTCAGGAAATAATTTTATACAGAATGCTAACGTTTTCTTTGATGAAACTGCTCCACATGGGCTTCCCTAAATACTTCTTGCATTCGTTTGATCATAATTTAAAAGCTACTCCGCGTTTACCTGAGTGTGTATATTTTTGCAAAATGTCCTCCTGACATGCAACCTTCACAGGGTTATTATCAGGCTTCTTGATTCAAGCACGTATCAACTTTCTTTGGAGTTTAAGCATCTTGGTAATAGCTAAATGTTGTGTTTGTAACAAACATACATAACAAACGTAAGTGTAGCAGGCGACAAAAAATGTTTTGTAAATAATAAACGTCCTTGTTTTCAAATCAATCATTTCACCACGAAAAACAAGACATTTTTGTTTCCCGTTTTTGTGAGTGGGAAATTAGCATTTACATTGAAAATAATTAGTGGACTGGGAATGCAGTGCGGTTAGTGAATTGCAATGTTAACTTTTCACTGAAAGGAAAAGAAGCTGGCGAAATTTGTCGTTTATTTGCCGAACGCCCAAGTGAGCAGTGCCGTGACAAAGATGAGCAGGATGTTGATGTCCGTAGACATAGGGGCAGCATTACAACCCTCGCCAGTACAGCAATATTCGGTGGTGCAGACGTTGTTAAAACAACTTGATAGTAACTTTGAGTGGCGCCGTCCCTACATTTGTCCTTATTATTACAAGCTCGTGTCACCTGGTTATTGTTGTCGAAGGTTTTCTGCAAAAAGATGTAGAAAGACACCAAGACAAAGTATAAGTCACAAATGGTTCTGCTGTGTTATCAAAATGCCTGGCAATTGGCAGTAAAGAATTTCAAACTTAGGTTTGAACGACTACATGGTTAAAGCCCAAAACGTTTGCATATACCCTTGGTAGAAACTAAACCATTTTGCTGTATGTAAGCTTAAACATCGCTGGTATTCACCAAGCAGGTTTGTCCGCTGGTACATGACTTCAGCCAGTCAGCGTGAGCGGCTCCGTCGAACGGCTTTTCCTTGGTGCCCGTACAACCGTCTTGTGAAGGGGTGCATATGTAGCACTTGACCGCACCAAAGGCGATGTGGGTGCAAACTGAATGCATCAAACGGAAGCTAGGTAGTTTTTTGTTTATCGAAAACAAGTTCGATTTCCAGTTGAATAAACTCACAGAGTGGCATTAAAGGCGCTCGGGAGGAAAACTAGAATTTAACTGAAAAGGTGGCAACATGTGGAATGGAAGACATGTGTAAATTGAAGAGAGTCCATGAAAGGTTTGCCTTGACAGTGAAAAAGGGACAATATCGATCTTTTCATTATCAAATCTCTACCGGATGTATTCGAACTACTGTATATTTCTTTGTATCATTTTCTAATATCGGAATTTGCCGGCCACTTCTGTTTGCCTGTAAGAGAGAAAGCAAAGCACGGATAGGATTTTTCTTGCCCCAAACCAAACAGTAGCAACATTATAACTTACCACTTAGGAAAATGATCAGCAAGAATAAAGACTTCATTGTGGTTTTCGCTCCTTTGTATCGTCAATACCACTATTAAAAAGAAAACAGCGTCAGGTATGCAGTAAGAACCGAGACGCTATACCTTGATGATATCAAAGTAAAACGAAGAACTGATAAGTAATTACTACAAATAGCCCCACCGGCTTATGGCACAAAATAGACACACTTTGAAACTAAACAGTGTAGACTCAGTTGATAAACTATTCTATTGGCTTTTTGTTGTTGACTCGAATGACAAGAAAGATCAGTACGAGTACTTTTCCCTGAGTTCCTAGTACGAGTGCAGAGAGTGCAGGGAAATACACGAATACGAGTACGAGCACTACAGCACACTGACTAGAAGGAAAAAATCTGAGAACCAAAAGCAGTTTTCATCTTTATAGTTTGGACCTATCGTTTCAGGCAGGATGCTTAGTTCTTCGCTGTCAAATACGTTCAATTAGTCCACTATTTCTCCTAAGAATCTCACCACTCACAAAAGAGACTCAAATGGTGCTACAACAGACGTTCGTCTCATTGCTATGTCAACCATGTAAACCATATAATTGATAATTTTTTGCTTTAGTTAATCTTTGAAATTTCCCCGCATACATTTTTAGGTTAAAACACTCTTCTCGCATTGGAGTTGTGTTCTCTTTAATGAGAGTCCCATGTAGTCATTGAAGATTGACATCAAATTTTAGCGTTTACTTGAATACAAAATACTTGCTAAAAACAATAGGAGAAATCCTTCATTGAGTTTGCATACGCCAAAAAACAAATCCGAATTCCCGAAACAAACTTGACAATTTCCTCAATGAATTGAAACGAATATTCGTTTAATAAATCAACAGGCCTACCTCTCCAATAACGGTGAGAACTCGTCAAAACCTGGTCTCTCTGCAGCTCGCCTTTGTCTGTACAGACCAACGACTCAAACTACCGGTACGGGTTTATAAAATATACGCCCTATCGAACCCAAGTTCAATCAGATCTCTGGGAACACGTGACCACAGAGCCAAACAAATCAGTACCATGAAGCGTTGTTCATTTATGCGTAATAGTAACGCCCATTTAACGTTTATAGCCTATTGAAATTATAGCACGGTGATAAACGTAATGATTTGTTTTGCGTGTTCTCATCGTCAAATCGCCACGGCACGGCGTAGGAATGTGATTTTAAGTTAAAATGCACAATGTTTGTTGGAATAATGTCTGGTTCCCAGACCAGGAGATTCTGAATACGGCAAGAGAATCTTTTAGGCTCCTCTTTTCCACAATTAACAAAAGAACTGTCCAATTCTATTTTCGTTTGGTTTTCGGATTCGTTGATAACCTATTTTCTCTGATATCTGTTTATGGGACTACATTCAATCTTTTTAGTACGCGAAACATCATTCACAGCTCACTGTAAGTGGGTTCTTACATACACCTTGGGTTGAGCAGCTCATTATTCAAAAATCTACAAAAAACAAAAACAAAAAAAAAAAAACGTTTCGGTTTGAGTCTGTGGATATGTTTGACGCATATTTTGATATCAGTTTCATGAAATTCAGAAGTGCCACTCTTGCTGAATGTCGGGGTAGCGATTTAAGGTTTAGACGTTTGAAGATACAGATTAGTATATCTTCAGGGTCAGATTTTAAAAACTTTAAGACCGTACAGATAAAGTATGCGGCGCTTTATACATTGACAAGGTTTTAGTTCAGTGGATATCATAAATAATCTACCCTTCTGAAAGAAGGTAAAAAGCAAATTGTTGGTTTAAAAAGGGGCGAGATGAAACTGTGCCTGAAGGGAGTCGTGGTAACTAAAATTCTCTCCAAATATTTCTCACACACTGATCAGCACCTGAAATAATTGCACATTCTCGCCGACTCATTCGCGGCTTCAAAAATAAAATGAAATCGTTCTTTTCGAAACTGAAAGGACACTGTTATAACAAATACTATTATAAAGAACAGATTTCGAGAATCACGCTTCCTTGAATTGTTATGTTTTTCGTTGTTTGCGATTCCTCTTATGACAAAGTAAAGTGTTTGATACAGCTCTGTTCTAACGAGAGTAGACTACATAGTGGATGTCTTAATGCTGTGGAAGTGGTTCTCAAAAGGAGAGTGAATAAAATAGAGTGACGTAATTATTTCGGTCATTTGGAAGGAATCATTTGAAGAAAAAAATACAAACTGTTGACGAATATAGGCGAAATATACAGAATGTAATTTTTAAATCTCCGTCCAATTGCGATATTTTATGGAAACATATTAATCCAAATGGAGCTGAAAAACCCTGAAGTCTGGGTAAATATCAATGGTTCACGAGCTGTGTCAGCAGATAGAGAGCTCTTGAAGTATCTTTGCCAACACGATGTTCAGTATTTATCAGTCACGAGTTGAAGGACAGTACAAGTCCAAAGTACAAAAACTACTTGTGTGCCATAGCAACTGGGGTGAACACCGGAACACTATAGCGTTAATAAAGTTCGAAAGTCAGCATTGTTCTATTACCAACTGCAGGGGCGGATTTAGGAATATAGGGGGGCGGGCTGGCAGGAGATTCAGACTAAAAAGTCTCCTATTTGTAAAATTCACCTTGTGCACATAAGAAGAACCTGCAGAATGCTCTCTTGATTTTAAATTTACTTCAGTAATTGTTTAAAAATTATTTCCCCCATTTTGTTTACCTGTTTTGGGGTCTCCGAGCGGGGAGGGGGTTTTTACCCCCAGCTCCCACCCCTGGGATCCGCTCCTGCAACATTGACGTAGTCTAACACCAACCACGACCACTATAAGAACTGTGGATAATCATTGCTTGTACTAATCCTTCTCAAATTACGTATGTGAAGTCATTCTACATTCACTGAAGTACAGAAATTCTCTGATCAAAACTTTCCTCAGATCCACAGGTATTATGAACATCTCCTGAAAACAAGTTACATGTAATAGCGTCAGCCGCCTGAGTTGAAAAAGTCTAGTCATTAACGAGTATAAGTTCTTTTTTTTCATCGCTACGCAATCAACCTTACATTCTGCGGCTCTCTTTAAAAAATTCTATGATATCAACCTTTGTCAAGTAAAATGGAAAAAAATAACTCCTTTCAAAATCTGTTGGTCTCTTTTTCATTATTAATTAGTTTTACTTACATTTTTATTCGCATTTTTTATATCTTATTAATTTCATATATATCTTTGCTTCTTGTATTTTCAAATTTGCTTTGCAATGATATTCATTGAATTTCACATTTTCTCTTTCGATTTCGCTTTTCATTTCACTTTGTATATTTTTCAAATCGTCATATCTAATTGGAACCGTCTTTAATTTTATCATAAATTCCCACAGTTCAGAAGATTTTAAGAAACAGATAAATAACTGAATTAATGAAACTCAAACTTACCGCTCAGTACTTCTCATGTAGAATTCCAGTGTTGCTATTTTCCAAACGAAATATTCCGTAATAGTTGGTGAGCGTTCCGACCCTACTTTATATCCATGTAACAAAAATATTAAGATCAGTGATCATCATTTGTGTGGTCAATAACAACAATAACAATGTTTTCTAATTGGTATGACTATCTGCAATAATACACAGTCAAATCCAGTGACGAGAGCGTGCAGAATCCAACGCTACTGCCGACTGCATGAATGACAAAACTGTGCCTGATGGTGAATCGATCAAAGGCTGTGCACCCGAATGAAGGGTTAAAATTAAGACCCAGAAAAGTCAGTTTATATCGCGTTATATTAATTTATTAAATCACAAGGCTCTTTACACAAAAAAGTTTACATATATATGCAACGTAATGTAAAAGAAGGTTAAATTTGCAAGCCGGATATGATTACAAAATCATTGCTTTAAATTAATATACTAACTACATCCAAATCATACTTTCAGAAAAAACGCCAGAATAGTAATAATTATTATATTCAACCTACCCAACACCCTTAAAAGTATAACTTGTAAAGTGAAATCTGACAAACGGAGAGAAAGACAGATAGAACGTTCAACAGCCAAAACGGAGAAAAGAGCCGCTGACTAAAAGACCTACAGGCCGCCTGAGCTGACCGACCAACCGACGGCCACAAGATATTTCGCCAAAATAAATATACTAAACTGACAGTGTCATGCTGTATTTTCAAATATTGGTTTAAAAAGATGGGTCTTTAAGCTTTCGTAGAAAGATTAAAACCTGTGTATCGAATGTTTACAGGTAAAGTGTGCTGTATCATTGACAATTCCGCAAAAAATCGTCGCCATAGAAGATGGTCCTACTTAGACTGGATTGACCGAGAAGGTGATAAAATGAGCATCGTGCACGATTGGGTTTATGGCCCTGTAAACGTCCAGAGATGTGTGTTGGTGCCATCATCTATTACGGACTACCTTGAACGCCAAAAGAGCAAGCTTTCGGTGAATATGTTGTCGAACTGCTCGCCAGTGCAGCTCATCAAGGATGTGCTGAATAAGATCACGTTAGAGGTCACCAATCGGACTCCAGAGTTTTCACACTCTCTACTATGCCTATCTCGGTGATACAAGTCCGTAAAGAGGACTGCAACAAAAGTCCAGACAGTAGGACACAAAATGGAGTAATCGCTCCTCCGACATACATATTATCCCCAACAGTGTCACAGAAAGGTCGTATTTTGGGTGTGGACTTAAATATGTACCCAAGGAGGACAGTGTTAGACAACAGGCGGCACTTTTGCAGGAGGCATAAGTAGTTACATCGGCATGACATCAGTAAAAGGCACTTGTGAAAAGAGGCACTTCGGACAAGAAGACATTTGTTAAAACAACAAAGTATGAGGTAACATTCGATTTCGAGGAGTTTCTGTTGCATTTCGCTGTCACTCTCAGCTGGAAAACAGAACAGAAAAAATTATGGGCGGATTCCTTTTCAAGGAACAGTTCATAAAGACGAACTTGACAGCACTACTGTTCAAAACTTAGGACCTTCTTCACCACTGGCTATTACGTGCCAAAATATCTTTTTAAAAAGATTACTTTCATGGTGAACTCGCAAACAACAGGACTAGCCTCCCTAGGTTAACATATCACTTCGCTGAAAAAAGATTCACAACTTTCGAAACGGTCAGTTAAGCAATATACTGCTAATAGGCCTATATAGGATATAATGTGCAACAATTTACATTGTCATACCTCTGTCTTGGATGCTGTCCGTTTATTGACTCAGAACGATCACATGACAGGGCGAAATTTAACAACTGTTAAACGCTGTGTTGTGAAATATGACATTTTTGAACACCCGATGGACACATAGCGCCCCGCTATGCGTGCCCGAAGGTGTTCGAAACGTCATATCCCACACCACAGTGGTCAACAATTGTTAATTAATAATGATTGCAAGTGCAATACTAAGAAAATATTTCCAAGAAAATATTCGTTCTAATCAACAAATGTGAAACTTTCGTTACATGTATTTGTTTTTGTGAATCTATTAATAAATTCTGAATTTACTCAATGTGTTATTGGAATAAATCCTCACCCTGTATCATCTACGAGTTTCAAAACGTCATCTGTTTAAAAAACAACTTTCCAAGTTTATCGTTCGCCGTTTGTTTCAAAAGCTGCTTTACCGTGCCAACAACAGCGTGACATTGAAATTTTATTTGTTTAAACCATAGAATAGGCCCCTAAACCCTCTATTCAGCGTGGATTAACTTTCCCTTTGATGCGATGTGGCCATGCCTAAGTTCATTATGACGAAAATCTGAGTGACTTGGGATCACATACAAATTATCAAACACTGACATGAAATAGTTGCTATGCCATCGTCTCGCTGTGCTTAGCACCGCATATCAACATTTTAAATGCCAGCTGGATGGCCTCCTTTCCGGTCGTCACTGTAAGCGCTCCAGAAACCCTGTGCGTCTCGCAGTATTCCTTGCACTACGCAGTTACCAGTAGACTCGTAAGGATAGTGGCCTTTTGCTTTCAAACCATCAATAACGTCCTGAACACAGGCAAGAACACATTGTTATTATGGTGTTAAAGAAACGCTTGGGGCGTAAGCCTACAGCCTGAAAGCTGTTTACTTTTAAGTACGAGAAAGAATTTCAGAGTGCGCCATACAACAACAATAAGCAAAACAAAAATACAATTGTGTTAGGCCTACTCCTTAAAACTTCGTGAAAGAAGCATGAGCAGATCGTTGAAGGCGTCCTTACCTGATTAAAACCTGCTTCATAGGTGACATTATTGGGAACTAACTGATGATGAAAACGCCTGCGTTGGATCGCATCTTTTATGCTGTCACCATACCACAATGTATCCACGGTTACCTGTTGACCACAAAGTCAATCCAGGGACAATTTTCTAAATCTATTGACGTTAAAACCGATGAAACTTTTTACTATACATCTAACGGCGAATACGAACTGATGAATAATTAATAAAAATAAACAAGTATCTGCTTGAAGAGGTTAAGTTAATTTTTTTTTCAAGCAAAGTGATGATTTTCACTTCCTTTCCTGTCTTTTTTCTTAACTCTCGCTTCTTTTCCTATTTATGTATTAAAGTTCTCAGGGGGGAGCACTCTTTACCCCTTGGCGACACCCATGCGTTTGAAATTAATATCAGAGTAGTGCATGAGGTTGACATTTCAGCGTTTTTGTTCACGTTGCTTTGGAAACTGATAGGCCAGGTATCAAAGATCCACACGCAAGAGTAAAGTATCATAATATGGCCATAACATATCATTTACACGTTTAGTTTGCAAATAATTCATTTTTTTTTTACCTGCGCCACACCGGTGGTTATTCGTGAGCCTCCTGATGCACCAACCACGAGTTTCACTTTGCCGTCACGATCCACCACTATGGTGGGTGTCATGGAGGACATTGGTCGTTTTCCTGGCCGGATGAAGTTTGAAACAGACGGTGGGAGGCCATAAGCGTTTGGTTCTCCGGGCTTTGAGAAGTCATCCATCTCGTCGTTGAAGAGGATTCCTGTACGATTGCCACGAACTTTGGCTCCAAAACTGGACAAAAGGGTCAGGGGTCAGTGGTAAGTCAAGTTGATTCTGGTGATTCAGTGCCCTTTAGTTTTTACTGCTTATAATTGGTGAAAAAAATAAGGTGTAATTGAACGGATCTAATTTCAATTTGTTTTATCTATCAAAATTGCTTACTAAAGATTAATGGTGCTCGTAGCAGCTACCGCATTGCCGTGTGTATCAACGACCGACAGGTGGGATGTGCCGCTATCAGGCTGATTGTAGTAAGCAGTATAGTAAGAGGGATCGTGAGACATGTTGTCATCAATAGCGGCTCGTAAGGAGTCTGCATAAGCCTGTGACGTCATGTTGGCAACAATCTGAAGACGAGAGAAGTCCTATTTGTTTAATGGCTTACGGGGATACCAACAATCACAAAGGCGACCCAACAGTAAAAGGTTGATGCAGGGACATCCCGAGGAATGTCAAATTTACTTAGTGTAATCCCTGGAAAGAAATTCAGTGTTTGGCAACAATGGCGCACTTCAGTTCCTTACTCTACTTCACCCAATCTTTTTACACCATGGCAACTCACTTCTTTGACATCAACGTAGTCTTCATCTCCAAGAAACGATCGACCTGCATACGCGAACTTGAAAGCCTCTACCATACGATGAGTTGTCAAGATTTCAGCGTCAATGGTTGCAATGCTATCTGGACCAATGCCATATCCTAGAAAATGTCATTATACATAATTATTGGTTTAACGATTACTGTACGGTAATGAGTATTATAATAGCTAAATATGAATGGAAAAGAACAAGACTCTGCTACTTACAAAGAAGCTAGAATTAAATGAAACGAGGATCAACGACACTTAAACAGTGGATAGACATCAAAATTTGAATGAGATGAAATGGAAAACTACACATTTGAGATTAAGATGAAAGGTCAGAATGTATCTTTTTTTACAAAACGAAACAAGACTCATATGAACAGTTGAGGAAAATGATTAATCAAGGCGAGAGACATAGCAGAGAAGATGGATAATGTGATAATTGGAGATGTTGCATAACATTAATACGAAAAATTTCGACAGAATATCACGACAGCACTATGATAACTCGACGCCTAAATCAATAGATTTACCATCGACTATGTTCAATATCAGCGAAGACACAGCACCACTGCCTGGTGGGGGAGGCGAGTACACCTTCATACCATCCAACTCAATCATTAGAGGTTCCTTCCGTTTTACTTGATAATTTTCCAGATCTGCCTTTGTGATGATACCACCTGAGAGGAAATGTTCGGTAAAACCACAGTCGTTTTAAGACACAATGATAAATTCGACAATTAGTTTTGAACACAGGTTGTTCAAACATCGACTACAAATGAATAACAATCCATATAAAACCAGAATCACAGGCCCTACTCCAGATTGCATTAGTCACCTCTATCGGCAATGTCGGCCACGATGTCATCGGCAAGATCTCCTTTATAGAAAGCATTCTCTCCACCCTCTGCTAGTTTCTTGTAAGTTTCCGCCAGTTTGATATTGACCAGTGTATCTCCTTCCTTGAGAATCTCCCCTTCTGAGTTCAGAAAAATTTCCCTTGAAAAAAAAGTGGAATAAAATTGAATCTGAACCGCTTAGGAAATTATGTAGATATTGGTAATCGGGGGGTGGTGAAAAATGTTATGACGTAATTTCCGTTCACTGAAAAAAGTCACTTTATGGTACAACGTACTTGAGAATACAAGCTTTTCAAAACCAAGTGCACATGAAAGAGGGTCCTGAAAGGGAACCTGTACCCAGTTTGAAACTATGGTCAAAATATTCAGACTTGCTAAACACAACTGATGGAAAAAAGTTCATATTACGAGTCTCACCCTAAGCTTGGATCGTTCTTCATGTAGCTCTCTCTGACTTTAATTGCATAAGCGAGCGCACTGCTAACCACTATTCCCTCCTCAGCCAACTTGATCGAAGGTTGAAATAAATCAGTCCAGGGTAGCACACCGTATCGTTGATGAGCGGTCCAGTAACCTGCTATCTCCCCAGGAACAGCAATGGATAAGCCACCTAAAATTACGGGGAAAGGTTGTTTTTATAGTTAAATGTCACTTAGCTGCGAGAAAAGGTCGTTGAGCATCTTTATTGTCAATCAAAATAAACTGTGGGCAGATCGCAAGCAATATTTCACGATGACACGAGTGTGCTGAGAAGTATTTGTTTACACAGGATCAATTTACTTGCCCAATGTCAAATGAAATTCACGCGTCAACAGTGAAGACAGTGCCCACAATCTAAATACTCTGAAATGGACAACGCTAAAGACATGGATACCTGAAGTGGAGGCGTCTTCTGTCTCATTTTCGTACATTTTTTCGAAGGCAGCGAGTGGCGCTGTCTCTCTCGCATCCAACATTTCTACAGTACCGGCCTTAGCGTTGTAGAATAACAGGAAGAATCCTCCGCCAATGCCGGCACTGTGGCAGTTATAAAGACCAACGCACAGAAATGCTGCTATCGCAGCGTCTACGGCTGTGCCTCCCTTTTCCAACATATCCCTGGAAATAATCAACATTATCAGGATCATCAAAGACAGAACAATCGGTTATTGATGCAGTTTAATTTAAGCCCAACTCAACAGGAAGTTGATGATGTCTCCCTCATCGCATCTGATGTCTTAGGTCTTCCTCGAAGTTACTGTGTAATTTCTTGTGTACTTAAATGGAGCACCATATGGTGGGCTTTTATCAATCATGGGAGGGGGATACACGATTTTATTGCCCTTCTCTTACAACATTTGAAAGAAACTTCCGCCAAAACCTTTACAAAAACGCTAAGAATTTTTACACACAATAAATGTAGGGAACCGTACCTGAGTAAGGGCGCCCTCATCCTTCCAATACGCGTCTCGGAGGTAATTAACATAAAGAGGATACTTTTTAGGATTCCCGGGGCACGCTGGTTCGCTACAATTATCTTTAACACGTTCATCAGAAACTATGCATGACTACCTTAGACAGTTTCCCTTTTTAAACAACATGAAACGTGGTCACGAAACGTAAAAATCTGATAATTCCCGCTTTGATAATGCCGGCTGCGTAGAAACGCTCGTAAAAACACTTGGGCACCTGGATACGAGACAGTTTCGTCCATTCCTATTGGTCAAGAGTCTCTGTGCGCTGCGTCACGTAGAACTAGCCACGCGTACGCCATGCCCATAAAAGAAGATTCTTCAGGACTACTTGCACAAGGAATATACCATAAAATGGACTGGGGTGGAAGTAAAATTCTTGAGCAAAATCTTTGGAAATTTATGATATACTGACTTCATTTAACTCTCTGACCAAAACGATATTTGTGAATGAGAATGCTGATAAAAGACCTTTTCACTAATAAGTGCATAATTGTGCACATATGCGCACAAATGGTCTTGGCGGCAAGGGCCATTGAAAATGTACAGGGGGGCAATTTTAATCATATTCTCTCAGGTTTTCTGGCTTTGTTCAAATTTCTCTTCAAACAACCCCATTTAAATCGTTTTGCTATTAGTTTCTAATCTAATCTCTTGCGCACAGAAAAAAATCACGATTGTACAGTCTTTTAACATAGCACTAAAAATCCCACTTAGATTAGAAACTGAGTGCAAAACTGAACAAAGGCAGAAAACCTGAGAAAAATGATCAAAATCACACCGCTGTACATTTTCAATGGCTCTTGCCGCCAAGGCAATTTGTGCGAACCTCGCCTGCGGCCTTAGTCGTGTCCATTCTCCTGAGCCGGTCTGGAACGCAAGTTTAAGACCGACCAAGCACATATTTATTCCCTTCATTCATAAATACTTAGGTCAATTTTTCTCTTCCTATTGGTGGAAACGCGTCACGTGACCGTATACGTGTATAAACATTTGATAATGCCAGCTGAGAAGTGATACTGCCTGCTGCGTAAATCACGCGCTGGTTAGGATTGGTTAGGACTCTGTATGCACGTGACGCACAACGCGCGCGTCAAGTTCATCGACAGGATTCTATTGGACAACTTTCAATAGGAATATACCATAAAATGGCCGGGGGTGTTCGGGAAAATGAAAGTAAAGTTTTAGAACAAAACCGTTGGAAGTTAATCATATTTTGACTTCTTTTGACTCTCTGAATAAAAAGGTATTTATGAATCGGAATAAATATGTGCTTGGCCAGTGCTCAGGCGAACGAACGCCGAAAATGTCCAAGCAGCCGGCAAGAGCATTAGTCTCGTCAATTTTCCTGAGCCGGTCTTAAACGCACGTTTAAGAATGACCAAGCATATTTTTATTCTCTTCCGAACTCTTCGGGGCCAACACATTTATGTCACGGATATTTAGTTGTATATAGGCCTACTTCATAATGGTTAACATCACTTAGCTCGAGAAAGGCCAGTACACTAGCCGACTCACCGGCCAATCTCCGAGCACTTGCCAGCATCAGCAGCCACGGCAGCCTTGGCGTATTGGTACT